CTATTAAATGGTTCACGTGAATTATTATTAATCTAAATATAAGTATTTATTTAAATTAGATTTTTTTTTTATTTATTTTATTTATTTTTTATTTATTTATTTATATTTATATACAAGCTTACACCTGACTTATTATTTAACATATCTACAACTGAGATATCTTCTTTTACATTCAATTTCTTTAATTCAGATACTTTGGTCTTGTGAAAATTAAGATGTCTTTTAAGATTTGATGTCATTCCATGCTGGTATGCTAACTTCTAATTACAAATCTTACAAATTGTGTAGTTTTCTTCTTTTTTTTTTGAAGTATTTCTATACAAAAAATCTATAAAATATACTATTAATACAATATATTAAACAATATATTAAACAATTATAATATTTTAATTATCTAGTATGTGTAGAATTACTGCTATTTAACTTTTGTACTTGTGATGATTCACTAACTTCAGATTCATCTAATTATAACTCTGGTTCATATGTTTTCTCATACATTGGTTTATACTCTTTCTCATGCATTGGTTCATGCTCTTCCTCAAACATTAGTTTATACTCTTTCTCATACATTGGTTCATACTCTTCTCCATGCATAGAATCATAATCTTCCTTATAAGAAAATATAGACGGAGTTGGTATTACAATATTCTTGTTTCAAAAAAAAAAAACATAAGACAAAAAAAAAAAAAAAGGATCGTATAAGACTTATTTAAAAGGATTGTATAAGACTTATTTAATAAGATTATATGAAACTTATTTAAAAAATAATGTGAATCTTGTTCTAGTGTTGGAGCAAGTAATGATTTTTTTTTATTATCGGTTTGATCAGCATATTTATATATATTATTACTGACCAATAAGCATATAGTATAGTATCGAGTATTTGATTCAGACTCCTATGTGGATCTGAATTTACGGATCTTATAAATCACAAATCTGGATCTGATCTGATAGGTCAAATCCAATTCGGATTCAGATTTTCAGATTAGACTATAAAACACTAATATATATATACGCATGTGGGTCCCCCTATGATAATTTTGGCTAAAAATTGGTATAATTCTGGCCAAAATTAGTATAATGCTAGTAAAAAAGGGTAACCTATACTATATTTCAGCTAAAAATTATATACAATCTTACAAACTTTAAACTTAATCAATTTAAACTCTTTAAAATTAAAATACTGCTTAATAAACTTTCTATA